TCAGTGTATAATGTAGGTTATTCCGTAATTAACATCATAGTTCCTCACTGTGGTGGACAATGTAGGTTCCCTCCCCATTGTCCTTTCTACTCCTCCCCATTTGGACTGACTCTAACAAACCTCCAATGGCAAACCCTGACTGGCCTGTCAGAGTAACACCATCCTCCTTGTCACAGGGTCAGGCAAAACCCCATGCCTAAGCCAAACAGGGCACGTTATTTCCCTAGTCATGGTGATTAATTCAAGGGTTGATGGGCATTTTTCTAAGTCAGTCTAGTCAGAGTGAAGTTCAGGAACTGATTCCAATGGTGAAGAAAAGCTCCCTCTGCTGTGCCTGGCTGGCTCAGTCAGTAGAGCAGGACACTCCTAATCTCAGGGTCATGAGTTCAAGCCCCATGTTGGACGTAAAGCCTATTTAAAAATACTAATAATAAATACTTCCAAATTAAAAAAGAAAAGCTCCCTCTCTTCCTCTTGCGGTATAAGGATGTGATACCTGTGCAGCTAAGCCAGATATGGGGAATCCAAGTAAGAAGCTAACAAATGGAGGACAGTGACAAGAAAATTAGAAAATCCCTTTGCGATGTCATGAAATTTCTGGATCAAAATGAACTTGAATCCCACCCTACCTCTTGACTTTTCAATTACAGAAGCCAATAAATCCTCTTTATTGGTTAGCGAGTTTTAGTCAGATTTTTGCTATTTGCAATTGAAAAAGCCCTAAGGAACATTCTCCTCAGATCCAATAACCTTCACCTCCTTACTCTTTCAATCATTCACTCTCATGGCCACTCAACCTGGTTCCTATATCCTTTGAAATTTTAATCTCAAATGCACTATTTTCTCCAACTATCTTACTTCTTCAACCTCGAGACCCAAGCCTGTTGGTGACTTTCTATAGTCTCTCAATCTAATAGACCACTTTTTTTTTTTTTAAGTAAGCTCTACACCCAATGTAGGGCTTGAACTCACGACCTGAGATCAAGGGTCGCACGCTCTGTGCGTGGCAACAACCTGAGAAAAGGGAACATGACCTGAGCCAGCCAGATGCCCCAATAGGCCACCTTTATACTCATTTCTCTCTGTGGCCCAGACCACAAACCCTCTTGGATTCAGACTCTCAATCACTTCCACTGTCATCCATCATCCCTACCCCACAACACTGCTCTAGCTCAGTCATCCAAGCAGCTGAGTACTGCTGGAGGGAGGAAATCACTCCCTCGTGGGTTGGTACCATTACAAGCTCGATTTCCCACCCTCCATGCTGCTCAGCAAGTTCATGCAGGGAGCACAGAGCAGGCACTCGGGAAATGTCAAATGAGTATCTGTAACGGGGTCCCCAGTAAGCCATCTCCTGCTTTTCGTAACACCTGTTTCAAACCTTCACGACTTTCTCAAGCCACCTCCTCCTCTTTCTTCTTTTAGCAAATCAATCACCTCATGTTCTACTACAGGGTAAAAATACCTGGGAACTCTCTCGATCTCCTGAATCCTGAATCTATCTCCTTATAAGTAACTTACTAGTGTCAGTGTCCAACCTTGGCCCTTCCCTTTTATCCAGATAGCCATTCATTCTCCAGATATTTGACTGCCCAGTACATGCCAGGCACTGTACTCTGCTTGGCCCTAGAAAGAGTGTGTGTTGGCAGGGAGAGGGGGCAGAGACAGAAAAGACATGGCAACAACCTGAGAAAAGGGAACATGACCCCTTTGAAGATCTGAAAGCCAGCAGATGTGGCTAGTATAGAGGTGTGGCTGGGACAAGCAGTCAGTGTTTGAAGCTGCGGGGGTTTGTGGGCCAACTAAAGATTTAGTCTTTATCAAAACACATGGAAGGATTTCAGGTAGAGAGATGACATGATCGAATGCACATTTTGAAAGGATCACTCCTCTTATTAAAGCTGCAGTTACCTATGTTAGTTTGTTCTCTGTCCTTTCCGTAGCTAAAAATATTTCAAATAGATTCCCAGGCCCTAACACAGACCTAGAGCCAGAATCTTTGAGGGCAGAGTCTGGAAGTTTGTCTGTTTACAAAGCTCCCAGGAGATTCTGAAGAACAGCTAAGTCTGAGAACCACTGTTTAGGGCATTAAAAAAATGAAGCTAGCGTACTTACCATAAAATTTATTTTTCTGCTTGTATCTTGCATCTAGTGTGAGCTTATAAAAATGTGACTTGGGGCACCTGGGTGGCTCAGTCAGTTAAGCGTCTGTCTTCTGCTCAGGTCATGATCCCAGGGTTCTGGGATCGAGTCCCACATCCAGTTACCTGCTCAGCAGGGAGTCTGCTTCTCCCTCCGCCCCTCCCCCCCCGCTTGTGCTCTCTCTCTCAAATAAATAAAATCTTTTTAAAAAATGGGACTTGGAAAAGACTTTATAAACTACCCATGTATCATAAAACATCCTTATTATCCTCCTTCTTTCTATTATGGGTTACCATGAATACCACTTCCTGGTCAAAACGCCAAAGGACTGAAGACATTTTTCCTAACAAATTCTCTCCTATTTACTTAGGACATAGTGTTCTCTCTTCCTAAACTATTATGCACCTTAACACATTAGCTAGTGTTTAAAGAGCTAGTTAAGCTCTATAGGGTGAACCCACAGTTATAGTTAAGCTCTATTGGGTGAACCCACAATTATTCAAGTAACTGAAGATCTATAGTGCCGTGAAATTCCTAAAGTTGTTCTACTAGTTTTTTTGTTTGTTTTGTTTTTTAAGAGAAAGAAAGTGCATGCACAGGCATGCAGCGGGGAGGGGCAGAGGGAGAGAGAGAACGTTAAGCAGGCCCCGAGCCCAGAGTGGAGCCCACATGAGATCACGACCTGAGTCAAAATCAAGAGTCAGTGGGGCGCCTGGGTGGCTCAGTTGGTTAAGCGACTGCCTTGGGCTCAGGTCATGATCCTGGAGTCCTGGGATCGAGTCCCACATAGGGCTTCCTGCTCAGCAGGGAGTCTGCTTCTCCCTCTGACCCTCTTCCCTCTCGTGCTTTCTATCTCTCATTCTCTCTCTCTCAAATAAATAAATAAATAAAATCTTTAAAAAAAAAAATCAAGAGTCAGATGCTCAACAGACGCTCAACCGACTGAGTTACCTAGGCATCCCTGTTCCTAGGTTTTTTAATGTGTATTTTTCTTTTACTTTTAAAGACGTGCCCTTTCTAATTATTTTATGTTGAGACTAATATTAGAATATGCAATCCCTAAAAACATACAAGTCACATGCTCCGCGGGGAGAGAAGAGAGAGGCATTTGTCACAGAAAATCCACATACATGTTGTAGAAATCACCTATGCCCGGTTAAGATCATGTTCAGTACAGTTTGCATTATCTGTGATTAAAAGACAAGAATAGTACAAAAAATGAAGGCCATTCCTCCAATCTGTTTGCCAAGAGCCTTCATATTTTCTCTTTGCACTACTTCTTTATAAAGCAGACAAAAATGCTAGAAAGTCAGATGATGCCATAACCGCTTCTACTTGACAAAGTGCCAAAAGAGGGCTACAGCTAGACCAAGGGGAAGAGGAAAAAAAAATTAGATAAACCACATTTTCCAAATCAACTACTGCTGACATGATGAAAGACACAAAAAGGCATTTGTGATACAGCTCTTTCCCAGCCTTGTAACCAAACACTTATGAGAAACGTATTTCTTCTTGCTGCATTTCTTCAGGCCCAGTGATCCTTTATGGGTATAAAATGGGGAAATACCAACTACTTCATGTATTGGGAAGAGTGAAGGAAATTTATTTCACAAACACTTACATACTACTTACTCTGTGCCAGGCCCATTCTATTTTACAAATACTAACATCTCTTCCTCCCAACAGCCTTATGAGCTAGGTACTATTATCCTTATTTTACAGGTGGGGGAACTGAGGCACACAGAGGTAACTACATTTGCCAGAGGTTACCAGCAGATACCTGGTAAAACCTGGGTTCCAATCTAAACTGAGTGGTGTGAGCCCATTCTCTTAAGCTTCCCCTTTGCTGCCTGAGATAATTTAGCCCCTCAAGCGGTAAGGGCTCGGAGGGGGCCTCCGGGGATAGCTGCTAACATTTTTACTCTTCCGAGCAGCTTGCCCCAACCAGCAAACATCACTTACTGCCCATAAAGTTTATTTATACCTCACCCTCCCGACCTTGCGTGGGCTTTCCACTCTGAACCTCTCTGCCTGCACGCCCAGGTAGCCCCAGCCTCCAGCCCCAGGGGCATGGCCAGGGCGCTTACTGAACCAGGGCCTGACCGGCTGGTTCCCTCCCAGCACAGGGGGGACCTCTGATAATGGTTTGGGGAATGAGGTGTCCAATGCTGGCAGAGATGTCACAGACTGAAAGGGCTGGACGGTCAAGCCTCCATTCCAGGCGGACCCGCGAGGACCCGGCCGCAGTATGGAGAAACTTCAACTTGGGAGAAACTGGGGCAGGTGACCATGCTTAATTCCAAATCTTAACATTTACTTCAACTACCAGCTCATTGAAAAAAAGAAGATAAGAAAAAGAAAAACCTTGGAGTTACTGTTCCAAGTCACATAGCAACTCAGTGGCCTCTGCCCTTACTACCAAACCGCGAGGCTAAGCTAAGCCGACCGCACCACTGTCTCCGGGGCAGTGAGCGCTTGCCACGGCGCCTTCCATCCGGCCTGCGGCAGCTTTGCCCTTCCCCCTGGTTCGGCGTTCTCCCCGCAGCCGATCCCGGAACATACCCCAGCCCACGCTAAACGGGGAACGCACGGCTGGGCAAGGGAGACCTCCGGGGGGGGGCCCCCCCGCACGGTTTTAGGGTCAGGGGAGGGGACTGTAAATTGATCATTGCCTTTTAGTTCCGGGACAAGAAGAGCGCCAAAACAGCCTGAGTCACCAACCACCGCCACCTGCCGGAAGCCACTGCTTGGGCGTCCTCTTCCAGCTAGAGAGCCGCGTTTCCCGTGAGCCCGCGGGCGCTCGAGGACTACGACTCCCGGCATGCTTCGAGGCCGCTGGAGTTAACCCTTCGGGGCCCGCAGCCTCCTCCCAGTGCCCCGCCTCCGCCCTTACCTGGACCCCGCAGGGTAAGTTTTTGGGAGCTGGGGAGGGACTCTTTCCTTTATTTAAGCTTGATTTAAGGTGTGCGTGCGTGCGTGCGTGTGCGCGCGCGTGTGTGTGTGTGATGTATTCTGGGAGGGTGGAATGATTCTGATTTTTCTAAAATGGGACAATGTTCAGTAATGAGATTCAGACGCATTTTTTGCAAGTGGGAGACAGATTCAACTCTCTGAACCCCAGGGTCTAAGTGGAATCACTGTTCTCTTCCTCAGAACGCTGCCTAAATCCTTTTCCTTCCTTATCCCTAGAGCAAAATAGCCAGCAACCTCTATTCTCTCCCAACCCACCTCTGACTTAGACCCTACCCTGGTGTCCCCATCAAGGTTTGGGACCTGGCACCAGTGTCAGGGTTTTTATCATTCTCTGGTTAGGGGTTAAGTACCCGGAGAGCCCATAGGACCTCGCACATCCTTTTTATTAGAGACTTTAGAATTTAGGCCCTTTGCCTCTCAGGGCCTGCCCTTCCCCTCAGGTGCCACCACAGAGTGAGTCCCTGCAAGTTCAGCAGGCACCCTGCCTTTGTCAGACTTGAATGACCATGGGCTTGTGGAAAGGGTTCCTTCCTTGGGAGTATGGGTGGTGGGTGTTAAACCTGATCCTTGCCCCCACCCTCACCCTTAATACAATACTGGGAACAGGAGACAATGGGGGGTGTCACACTCCTCTTTCTGTTACTATTCTTTATCTGTATTGTGCACAATTCCAGCTCTGGGCTGGGAGGGAGGGAGGGCGGCAGGGACTGTAAGATTTGGGGATTATTAGTCTGTGGGGTCAACTACCCCTGCTTCTCAACCGTGGTCAGAGGGGAGTGGAGGACCTGCTTGTTTTTTTCACCTTTCACTGCTCCCAGACCCCACTTTTTTTTTAAGATTTTATTTTTGAGTAGTCTGCACACCCAATGTGGGGCCCGAACCCACAACCCGGAGAGATCAGGAGTTGCGTGTTGTCCTGACTGAGCCAGCCAGGTGCCCCTCCCAGAGCCCACTTTAACAATCTTACCTCACAAGGCCCCCCTCCCTGCCTCAGCCTTTCAGAATCTAAAGCTGCTAGGAAAGGGGCGACTCTGTGTCGGGGGCTGAGGCCTGAAGCACCTGGGTCCTCTTCTTTGCTTCACCCCCCTGTGTCAGTGTCTGTCACCAGCAAGCATCCTATCCTTACCCCAGACATTAACTCCCTCATTCTGGGCAGTCTCTGGCTTCCTTCCCCTGCCCCCAAAGGGGCCATTGTTCTGGCCAGCATTTGGGGCCGAGTGAACAGAAGAGAGAAGACCTTGGGGCAGGAGTCCTGAACCATAGGAGTCCAGGGCAGGCCAGCATATCTCTCTTCTATCTCACCCTCCCCACCGCCAACTGGCTCTCTGCCCCTGCCCCCGCCCCTTGACATCCCAGACTCCCTGGCTATTTAAACAGAGATGGGTGCCCCCATCGGCACACTGTCCTTTGGCCACCGGACATCATGCCTCCCAAGAAGGATGTTCCCATGAAGAAACCAGCAGGACCCTCTGTTGCCAAGCCTGCTGCCAAACCAGCAGCAGGGGCCCCTCCAGCCAAGACCAAGGCTGAGCCAGCTCCAGCTGCCCCTCCTGCCCCTCAGAAAACCCAGGAGCCCCCCATCGATCTCTCCAAAGTGGTGGTGAGTCCCGGGAAAGTGAGGAAAGAATTTGGAAGGGATGATACAGGGTGGGAAACAGCCTAGGGGATTTGGGGGTATCTAGAAGACAGGGAATCAGGGAGCACTGGACAGATATTAGAGATTTCTCTTAGTCCCCCCCTTTGGAAGCATCCAGGCTTATGACTGCTGTTCTTTTTTGTTCTGTCCCTCTGACCTATAACATGTGTGTGGGTACGTACACACATTCTCACTGACCCCCTGCTGGAGGCAGGGACCTGTGAGATGGGGAACATCTGGGTTCTGAGGACAGTTTCAAGGTGAAGAGAGGGCACTGGTGCCTGTTCCTGGCTGACAGTTCAATTCTAAAAGCCACAGCCCTGAACCCCAGGAGGGAAGGCTGAAGAGGACAGACTTGTTAGACAATCACAGCTGGGGGCCAGGGGTAAATTTAGCCTTTGTTCAGTCCCCAGTTATGTGAGGGATGCAGAGCTCAGGGCACTGGAGGGAGGGAAACAGGTGGCATGGGATTAACCCTGTTCCCAGGAAACCCTCCCCCCCATAATTCCTCCTCTTGGGATTCTCCCAAGGTCCAGAGCTGGGAATGGGACTGAGGTAGCTGGGCTCCCCGCCTGGTCTCGTTGGGCCCCTCCCCAGAAGTGGCTGCCAGTTGGTTGGGAGGAGTGCTGGAGAGAGATTGAATGAGCCCTGTCATCCCTCCTCACCTGCTCTTTTCTTCCACAGATCGAGTTTAACAAGGACCAGCTGGAGGGTGAGGAGAAGCTGGTCCCTTAAGCTCCACCGTCTAGTCCCAAGCCCCTGGTCAGATCCTCTTTCTATTCCCCTGACTCCAGTCCCAACCTTGAAAACTTCCATGCTAGTGGTCTTTGTGTCCCCTATTCTGCCCAGCTCTAGCACATAGTTTCTGAACCTCTTTCTATCAGGGGTGGGGGAGGGGTGGTGATGGGAACCCCTAGTCCCAACACTGACCTCTTCTTATACTTCAGAGTTCAAGGAGGCCTTTGAGCTGTTTGATCGAGTAGGGGATGGCAAGATCCTGTACGGTCAGTGTGGGGATGTGATGAGGGCCCTGGGCCAGAACCCCACCAACGCCGAGGTGCTCAGGGTCCTGGGGAACCCCAAGAGTGATGGTGAGGGGGACGCCTGGAACAGTGCGGGTTTTCGGGGTGGTGGTGGAACCGAGGAATGTTGGCAAGGTGACAAAGGATGCTGGGGTGGGTCTCAGGACTTCAAAAACTGTCAGACTCCGGGTAGAAAAACAAACTGAATGTTGAACAGGATGAAAGCCTTTGTGGTAGGGATGGGAGCTGGGAGCAAGGTGACTCTACAGTGACCTCTCCCTCCCCTTTCTAACCTCTAGAGCTGAAGTCCCGGCGTGTGGACTTTGAGACTTTCCTGCCCATGCTCCAGGCCGTAGCCAAAAACCGGGACCAAGGCACATATGAGGACTACCTGGAGGGGCTTCGGGTGTTTGACAAAGAGGGGAACGGCAAAGTCATGGGAGCAGAGCTCAGACATGTCCTCACCACCCTGGGTGAGGCAGGGACCAGACCTCCTGTGGGTTGGAGAGGAGGGAGTGGACCAAGAAGGTTAGCCAAGTAGGCAGAGCCAGGGAAGGATTATCAGCCCATAGGTCATGGGCAGGAGACTGAGAAAGTCAGAGCCATGGGGGGAGAATCTGAAGGGCTTCTTCCTGCAGGAGGTGAAGTGAGGGTACATGCAGATGCCTCCCAAAGGACAGAGGAAGGGGGATGAGGTGGAAAACCTGATGTTCTGTGGTGGAAGAGATGCTTGTGCTCTGTGATCTGGTAGCCCCTTAACCCCCTGGAATTCACTTTCCCTCTGTCAAAGCTTTCACCAGGTGCTAATGCAGATGAAATGGAAAGCAAGATGCAGGGACACATTTGAACTGTTACCATTACAAGGAGAGGATCCCTTTGGGGTTCTGTTGCTATGAGCAAGTTTCCAAGGGTGGGAGAAGAGAAGGTACCACCCAGAAGAGAAAGGCCTGGTTGGGGAGGGAGCGAGGGACTAAAATGCTATGTCTGGGGCTCAGGAGAGAAGATGACTGAAGAGGAGGTGGAGACTGTTCTGGCAGGACACGAGGACAGCAATGGCTGCATCAACTATGAAGGTGAGGGGCCAAAGGAGCAGAAGGGACAGGGGAGGAGGGGAGGCAGAAGGCTCGCGGTGTGTGGGTGGGGACACCCGGGGCCTGGATTGTCTAAAATCAGATGGATTATCCAAGGGCCTGCTTCTGAACCTCTCTTGCCTCCTCTCTACAGCCTTCCTGAAGCACATCCTAAGCGTCTGAGCTCTCCAGGTAGGGCTCCCCACACCCCACTTGGAGGGGCAAGTTTCCTTTCCTTCCCGCAGCCAGGGGAGAAAAGCAGGGAAGTGCGTTTTCGCGTCCTGCTGCGCGCGAGCGACAGGCCTTGGCAGCTTTCGTCTTTTTCCACAGATGCGGCGGGGTCGGACACTGCCCCCCTTCCCCGGCAGGCGGAAGCACGTTCCTGCCACTAGGAGGCCAACTATTGTTTCAAAATAAAGAGACGGTTCCTCCCTAGGCGTCCGACTGTTGCTTTCTTCAGTCGTGGGACCGGGGGCGGCGGGAGGGCGGGCAGGGTGGGCTCTCCTCTCCCCAGTTCGATATCCTCTGATCTTCCCGCTGCACGGAGGAGCAGCTTCCCCGCGCCCCGCTCGACCCGCTTCTGCGGTTTCCTACCCCCAGGTAGCGCTGTGCGGGAGGAAGCAGCAGCGGACCCCACCCACCTCATTACTAATGTAGCAATATTATCTGTATAAAGCCAGGCCTGGACTCCTATTGGCTGGATCAGCTGAGGGTGACGTCATTGGGACGTACTAAGGCTAGGGTTGGGCCGGGAACCGGAGCCATTACTGCAGGAAAAGGTCCCGCGGAGCGGAGCCGTCAAGATGGTGGGGCCCGGGACCTGGAACGATGAGCGGGATGTGGGGCGAGAGGCGGGAAATCGGGGGTAGGGGTTTGCAAAGGGAACCTGAGGGCCTGGAAGGTCGGGGGTGGGGTTGGAAAGTTTAGGGGTCCTGTCCTGTCGGGAAGCGAGTCCCCAGCACGGAACAGGAGTTTGTGGTTCAGTTTGTGGGACTGGGATAGAAGCTTGGGGGATTGGGGTTCAGATGCTGACTGCTCCCCTCTTCTCTGAGCAGTGTGACTTCACCGAGGACCAGACTGCAGGTAAGTAATCTCTGACCCCTACTGAGGTCATGTTTAGGGAGAGGGACCCCCGCCTCTAGCACCCACCTCCTAACACCAACCTGTCATCTCTTCAGCACCCCCAGGGAAGTACTTCCTGGATTCCCTTCTCCCTCTTTCTGGATCCTCCTCCATTTTCTTTTCTCACTCTTTCTTCCTCCCTCCCCTTCCACTCTAGATCCGAGCCCCAAGCCCCGCGTGAGTTTTAGGTGGTGTGGGTATGTGAAACAACTTGGTCACCTAATGCCTGCTGTGTGTGCGGTGTGGGGAGGGTGTATTAAGTTGCCTGTGCTCCTGTCCTTTAATCAGCTTCTGCCTCTTTTCTCCTCCTGTGATAACAGCCCCCGCCCCAGCTTGGAATTGTTAAGATTGTAAAAAGCAGTGACCTGGAATTTTGAGGAAATGGGGACAGGGGGATTTGCTGAGGATACTTCATAGCTGTACCCTCTGAAGGTCTCTTTCTGTACAGGAGGCGTGGGAAGTGGCAGGCTGGGATGACCCCAGTCCCAGGCTGCTGCTCCCACTTCCTTATAAGGACAGGACCCAGACAGGGCGGTGGCAAATTCCTGCCCCTAGCAGAGTAGTGAGGAGGCTGGGCAGGCTTGCCGTAGGCAGAGGGGCCTGTGAATGGCTGTGACCATTCTGCCCAGGGGGGAGGAAGGCTGTGTCATTATGTGGGACACCTGTGTTGGGAGGCAGGGACACTAGGCCCCTCTTAGTGAACTTGGGTGTACAGTGGTACAAATACCTGGTTTCCTCAGCATGATCAAAGTTGGGCAGAAGGGGTTGTGAGGGAGGGTATGGGTTAACCCCCATATGCTCAGTGCTGATGTGTATCTGAATCTTCAGAGTTCAAGGAGGCCTTTCAGCTGTTTGACCGGACAGGGGATGGCAAGATCCTGTACAGCCAGTGCGGAGACGTGATGAGGGCCCTGGGCCAGAACCCCACCAACGCCGAGGTGCTCAAGGTCCTGGGGAATCCCAAGAGTGATGGTGAGGGTCCTCACGAACAATTTTTCAGTGTGGTAATGGGCTTACAGTTGTTCAGCTGAGAGCTTCCCTTTATCTTCAGAGACCAGAACTCAAGCAGGTTTGTCTCAACTAGCAAATCCCACAGATTTCTCCTGCTTTGAGTGGGAGCCACCTGCTCACTTGTGGTCCCTGTAATCTCTTCAGTCCTGAGAACCTGTGTGACTTTCCTTCCACCTCCTTTATGGCAGAGATGAATGTGAAGGTGCTGGACTTTGAACACTTCCTGCCCATGCTGCAGACTGTGGCCAAGAACAAGGACCAGGGCACCTACGAGGACTATGTCGAAGGCCTTCGGGTGTTTGACAAGGAAGGGAATGGCACGGTCATGGGTGCTGAAATCCGGCATGTTCTTGTCACCCTGGGTAAGGCTCTGCCCTTGCTCCTTGAGTGGAGGTGCCACCTGATACACACCTGCCACCCAGTTCCCAAAATGCTTTTTTTTTCTTTCCCTCTGCAGGTGAGAAGATGACGGAGGAAGAAGTGGAGATGCTGGTGGCAGGGCACGAGGACAGCAATGGTTGTATCAACTATGAAGGTGAGGGATGAACTGGGGCTCTCCTGAAGCAAGTTGTGCAGGCAGGTCATGCCCGGCGTTTGGGGCTCTCCCTGTCCCTGGCTCCAAAAAGAGCCAGGAGGCAAGGAGCAGGGCCCAGCCCAGCCCAGGAGTGGGAGGCCATGGGAATAGGACAGGAAAGGAAGGGATGATGTGTGTGGCGGGGCGGAGGTGGGGGAGGAATGGGGAGTCAAACCAAGGGAATGTCTGTTCCCCCACTGCCGGACACCTTCACCCCATGTCTGTGTCTGGTCTTCACCATGAATGTCTCTTCCTTCCTGCAGCATTTGTGAGGCATATCCTGTCGGGGTGACGGGCCCATGGGGCGGGTACGGCTCCTCCCAGCCTCCCCTTCTCTAGTTGCCCCCTCCCCAGTGTTTTTCTGCCCAAGCTCTGCCGTCTAGCCCTTGCCCTTCCCCTACTACCATCTGACTTCCTCCTAGCATGTTTCTGCATGGAGCTGACTGGGGAGGGGAGGGGAGGGGTTCCTCAAAGAGGAAGACAGCCTGGGGGTGTGGTACCTCCTTTTCTCCTAGAATGGGCTCTGAGGTTTTGCTTATAGGGCCTGGGGTGCTAGTGTCTGGGAACTCGCACCGGCCTGTCCCCGTCTTGCTTCAGGGTGATCCTTTGGCCCTGGGGATAGGTGGTTGGCATAGGGGGGTTGGTTGCCTGCCCCATCGTGCTGCTATAGCTGATTAGTCCTTTCTTCTTCCTTCTGCTGGGCAGCTTGGAGGTACCCTAACCCAAACCTCTGTCTTCTCCTGCCAATGGCTGACAGTAGCTGTAGGTGTAGTTGAGAACTTCTCTGCCTCCTGCTGTGTTCTTGCTGCTCAGGGTGGGGTGGAGGAGCTAACAGCGGGTGGGAGGGGAGCCGGGGGCCGAGAGAACTGGGCAGACTCAAGGTGGCTCCTCTGCAAAGCCAAGGTTGGTTTCTGCGGGCACGCTCCTGTGCTACCCTTGTGGTCCTATGGTCTCCTGGCCCCTGGTGGACCCCTCCCTGCAGCCCTACTCCCTGGCTCACCCCTCTCTCTCATCCACAGAGCTCGTCCGTATGGTGCTGAATGGCTGAGGACGTTCCTGGTGTGCCTGAGCCCTGTGCCTTCCCCTGTGTGAGACTGCATGTAGCCCTGAAGGCGTCCTAGGTCCTCTTGTCACAGCACCTTTGCCAGCTTGTCTGTCTTGGATGATATTGCTGTCAGCATTCACCAAATAAACTTGCTCTGTGCCCTAAGCATGGTTCTGCTTTCCTTCGTGAGCAGGGTGAAGGGGAGGAGAGACCATCTAGGGTCAACAGACCAGGGGCTGGGAAAGCTGGGGGAAGGGCTTGTAGGATCCATCTTTGTGTCATTTAAGAAATGCTGGCCCCATTCACTGATGCTACTACAAAGGCTACCCCTTGGGGGATTAAGGAAGCCATACATCCCTGTAGGACCAGGGCTGACCGTCCTCGTTCTGTCTCTTACCCAGGAGGTCCTCCTAGCCCTCCGACTGGTTAAACCCAGCCCTCACCCTCCCAAGCACTGACGGCCTTTGGTGGGGAAAGCCCAGGGAGTGTCTGATGGAGAGAAAGCCAGGCCGTATCAGCGCTGCCCGAGCCTGTCAGTCACTTCGGCAGGGCTAGGGGCCAATAATAACACAAGTACATGAGATGCCTGCCTTTTTCCCGCCTAATAAGGGAAGGAATGAAGCCCTTACTTCTGCAAGGATAAATACACAAAATCTCCAGGTTGTGAGGATGTCCTTCCAAGTCTCAAACAGCTATTTCTGGGGCAGGTGAGAGCCTGTACCCGGCTCTGTACCCGTGCACAGCCCGACGCGGATAGAGGCCCGGTGTCTGCGTGCCCGTGGCAGCGAATGCCCCTGGGAAGGACTCTGGGAAGGCTGCCCCCAGCCCGAATCCCCCTGCCTGACAGCCACGGGTCAGAGAACACAGAAGGCATTCACAAGATGGAACTGAAAGCAAATTAATTTATAAAAAAAAAAAAAAAGAAAAGAAAAAGAAAGAAAGAAAGAAAAAAGGAAAAGAAAAGAAAAAAGAAAATTTACAGAAACCTTTTGAACAGAAGAAAGGTGCCAAGACGCAGAGGAAGAAAAACACGGGACGTGAGGAACAAAGGCCTGGTGGGAGGGGCCGGGAGAACCGGTGGAGAGCCTGGAGTCCGGGCTGCCTTTGCGTCAAGGACGAAGAAGGGAAAGGTGGTAGGGGAGGCAGTGGAATCCAGGAGCAGAGCCGAGCTGCAAGCTGGGGGTAGGCACTACCCTGGGTCTGGCACCCCTCCTCCACTGTCCCCAAATCCCAGGGAACCCCCAGCTACCAGTCAAGGTTCTGATGGTCTTAGTAGAAGAGGTTAGAGGAGTGACCCACCAAGTCATAAGAAGGAGGTGCTTAAGTGCTTTTTGAAAAATTCAGGTTTTTACAACTCCCCCTCCTCTCTAGCTCCCCTCTCCGTGTCTTCTAGGAGCCCAGGGACAGGGCCCAGGGAGGAGGGACAGGGCCCTTTTTTCCTCTATTACCTACCACAGGAATCCCCAAAATACGTTTCCCCACCAAATACACATACGCTGACATCAACTACGCAGGTGACTTTTAAAAACACAAAACTGACATTCAGGGGGAAAGGGGTCATTGGCTGAGCTGGGGTGGCCTAAAACAGCAACACTGAGGAGGCAGCAGGAGAGATTAGTAGGAATAAACTGGGGTTGGGGTGGCTGAGGGGGTTTGGGAGTTGATTCGGTCACTAACGAGGGACTGGAAGAGACAGATTTTGCACCCTATTCTATCCCCAGAGCTCTCCCAGAACCTTAACTCCCCTTTCCTGTCACCTCCTTCCTCCAAAAAATGTAAAAGTTGGATTTTTTTTTTTTTTTTTTTAGTGGGTGGAGGGAGCTCCAATGTGGCCTTCTTATATCTCTCTGCTTCCTTTAAAGGGCTTTGTTGTTTTTTTTTTTCCATCCATAAAAAATGCAGTAGTTTTGAGGGGGTGCACCTTTAAAAGTGGTTAATTAGAACCTTGTATAAACACCTTTCCCCAGCTCTTTCTTGGAGGGCAGCATCCCCATCCTATCCGCTCTCCCAGACATTAGAAACATCTTTTAAACGGAAGTCCTTGAATAATCCGATATAAAAATGCATGCCTCTGACAGGCATGGTGGGGGCTTTGGAGGGGCAGGAGGAGCTTTCCTTACGTAGTGATGAACTCTCCAGGCTGGGGAAGGGTCCCAGTGGTGGGGAGAGGGCTGTTCCTGGAACCTTGATCTCCATAGGGGGTGAGGGAGAGAGATGTCTGGCTGGCTCCTCACTGTGGAGGTGGCACAGGGGTGACTGTGCCTGGGCTTGGGGCCGTGGGGTCTGGAGGCAGGGGGGTACCTGGGTCTGTGGAGAAAAGGAAGAGGAATCAGCCAGGGTGAGCAGGAGAGGAATCCAGACGCAGGCCACCTCAGACAAACAGAACTGGGCATGGCATGCAATGGGTGGGTAGGTGACCGAGGTAGCCTTTCCCCAACGCCCTCTCCCACCTCACACTGGGAAAACCGAAATACCCCAAATCTTCCTGCCCCCAAGGGAACTCTAAACGGGGCATTGGAACGTGATGGGAACAAGCAAAGGGGGTGCCGATCATCATGCAAACGGGTAGCTGTTTTTCAAGTTTACAACTGAGATGCTGTGCCTTAGGACTCCTCCGTGACCCACCAGTGAAAGGCCCCAACGTCATCCCAGAGCTGGCAGCTGCCGGGTGGGGAATGGCGGAGGACAGCCAGAGAGGCCCTTCCCCCTGTGTTCTCATTTACCAGAGCGTTCAAAAAGGGTTGTGCAAGTTCTATTAGCTAAGCCCTTCCCCTACCTGCCCCCGCCCCCGCCCGTCCCTCCGTGTGGACCCCTCTCCCTCCCCCTTCCTCCCCTCCAGGATGCTGCTCACCTGGCAGTGGGCTGGCACTGGGCAGGAGGTTGCCCTGAACAGCTGCCACAATGGCAGGGCTCTGGGCTGCGGCGGATCCGAGCCCCGGCCCGAGAGGCAAGGAAGATGGCATGGTGGTGGTCGCCGGCAGGTTAGGATGTAGAGGGTTCGCCATGGACACAGGCAGGTTAGGTGGGGGGAGAGTGCCCGGGGCAAACGGGAGATGGTGCTGATGCCCATGCAGGTTAGGAGGAGGGGGCAGGTTAATACTGATGGAGTCGGCTAGACTACCAAATGGGATGATGGATGGAGCGGGAGGAGGAGGAGGCGGCATGCCAAAAGGCAAACCCAAAGGAGCATTACCCGCCACGCCTGGGTGCCCGCTGCCTGGCACTGCCCCTGGCATCATTGCGGGAGGAGTTGGTTGGTTGGGGAACGGCGAGGGGCCTGGGAACAAAGAGCAGAGACCAAGAATGTTAGAGGCAGAAAATCTCCCTGGCATAGTGAGGATGATGTGGCCACGCCTCAGCACCGCTTTTCCCGACCCGGGACTAAATGGTACATCCTTGGAACAACACCTCAAAGATGTGGATGTGGGGAGGGAGCCCCGCTGACTCAGGGATGTCACAGAGGTGAGCCCATCTGTAGAAATCTCCAGTCCTGTCCTACATCCCTTTCGAGGGCGAATCGGAACGCTCACCCGGAGCCCCCTGGCCAGCAAGTGTTCCGGAAGCCGTCACTTACCATGGGGTCCAGGGGGGGCTACCCCTGGTGGGACTGCCCCAGGCTGGGGGGCTCCAGCTGGTTGCTGCTGCTGTGGCCCCGCGGCTGACCCTGCCTGCCCAATCTGTTCAGAGGGGCCCAAGCTTCCGGGGGGAGCCCCACCGCCAGCGGGAGCAGGGGCGACGGAGGCTGGAGCCATAGCCAGGCTGTGAAGCGCGGGCGGCCCGGCAGTGCCCGCGGGCGGGACGGGCTGGGAGCCTGGCGGCAGGGCTGGCGGGGGCTGCTGCTGCTGCTGGTGCATCTGCTGGAAGTGCTGCTGCCGGGCCCTCATCTCCGCGTACTTCAGCTGCTCCATGTGGAAGGCTTGTCTATCGGCCAGGAGCTGCTGCCTCTGATACTCCAGCTGCCGGAGCCAAGTGAGCACCGGTGCCCGTCAGCGGCATGCACGGGCCGCGCCCTGCTCCGCCCTCCGACCCACCCCACCTCTCAGTTGGGCAGCTCCCCACACCAAATGCCAATCTTGGGCTTGGGTGGCCCCGGCTCTGCCCTGTTCTTCCTCTACTATCCCCACCACTGCGTCTTCTGGTGCCCGCATGGCTTCTCACTGCGATGGGGCTCATCTAGTGGGAGCCCTTATTTGTTTCAGCTCCAAAGCTCTGACTCTGGCATTCTTTTCTTTCTTTCTTTTTAAGATTTTATTTGAGAGAGAGAGAGAGAGCACAAGCAGGGGGAGCGGCAGGCAGAGGGAGAAGCAGCCCCCCCACCTCCCAGCAGGGAGCCCGATGCGGGGCTCCATCCCAGGACCCTGGGACCACGACCTGAGCCGAAGGCAGATGCTCAACCCACTGAGCCACCCAGGTGCCCCTCTGTTATTATTTTCTTTTTTTTAAAAAAAAAGACTTAATTTATTCATTTGTCAGAAAGAGAAAGAGAACAAGCAGGGGGAGCGGCATGCTGGCAGAGGGAGAGGGAGAAGCAGGCTCCCCACTGAGCAGAGAACCCAATGTGGGTCTCCATCTCAGGACCTGGGACCATGACCTGAGCCAAAGGCAGACACTTAACCAGCTGAGCCACCCAGATGCCCCTGTCATTATTTTCATTTGGAAAATGCTTCCAGTTCCTCTTGTCAACTCGTGTTCTTTTCTTCCCTCAAAATTGACTAAACATTCACCATTCTTAGGAAGCCATCCCAGATCAACTCTTTAGCCTCTGAGCTTTGCCTTTATTTTGTTATCTCTCAGGACTTATAATCTGAATTTGTCAGATATTTTAAGCATTCACTGTTTTTGATGCCTCTGTATGAATATTGGATGTCTCCAATTAAACCGTAGGTTCTGTTAGGATCCCTGTCTTACATTTCTTTTTATACCATCTCAAAAAGAAAATGGTTGAATACCTTGCCCATCCCATCCCCTTTCCAAGTTCACCTCCTGGATCTGAAGCCCCTTCCCTCTCATCCCTTAAACCTACTCGATGGCTCATCAGATACTTATTTACTGAGAGTCTACAATGTGTCAAACACTGTTCAAGGACCTGGACATGAGGCAATGAAAAAACCGACTAGACTCTCTGCCCCAGGATGCCAACATTCTGTGGGACCTCAGGCTCCAGGCTTCGCCTGTGGGCCACTGTGTCCCCAGCCACCCGGGGCAAGCTCCTACTGCTCCTCTATGCTGAAGCTGGGTCACTCTCAGGCTTCCTCCCCTGCTGCTGACCCCCATCCTAAACCCAGGCCTGGCTCGGTGTCAAAGTGTGGCTCCTGGCTCCACTGGCCCCCAGGGGGTGCTACTCACTGCCTCTCGCTCCCGGTCCATGATGGTCTCCAACTCTTCAAAGTGCCGGAGTTTGATCTCCAACTTTTTCATCTGGGTCTCCACCAGCAGGGCCACCAGCGATTTGATCTTCCTCTCCTCCACGGCGGCCAGGTGCTAGGGAAGGCGGGGAGGGCGGCACGTGAGCGGGAGGGCCCACCAGAGGCGGGCCGGGGACAGAGCACTAGAGCAGAGGCCGGCGGATTTCAAGAAAGAATTTGCTGTGGTCACAACCCACAGAGTAGCAAAGGCTTCATATTCTTAAAAGAACATGAAAAAAAAAAAAAAGAGTGGCAAAAGATAAGACAAGGTCAAATAATTAGAGGATAAAAACAGGCCTAATGGTAAAAAGCTTTGAAGAGCTTAGAGAAGAGATGACCAACTCTCCCTCTCAGATCAAACTGAGAAGGAAACAGGCCAGCATCATGGAAGTGAGCGTGGGAAGTGAGATCAGAGCAGGGGGCAGTGCCTTCCCTGGGGGTCTTCTGGGCCCTTGGCCCTCACCTTGGCCTTCACGGCGGCGGCGGCCAGGGCGGCAGCGGCGGCGGTGGACAGATTGCCCTCACCGATGTCCCGCTCCACCTTCGTCTTCCTCTCCCCCTCCGACTCCACCACGTCCTTCAGCACTTCCTCCTGCCCTTCCTTTGGCTCCTTCTCCTTGTCCGGGTCAACTGGGCCAGGAAGACGGTGGGATCAGGCCTGCCGACCACTTCTCTCCCCTAGACACCCAACCACCATGCTGGGAGGCTCACCTATGGGGTCCCCGTCGCTCTTCTCTGACTCCTTCTCGCTGTCACCTTGCTTCCCTCTCTCTTCGTCCTTCTTGGGGACCTCGCTGGTCTTCTCCTTTGTTTCTTCTTCGGCAGCCCCAACTCCTTCTCGGGGTTCCTGAGGTGCCCATGAAAGAAAAGTGGATAACATCAGGGCGGCTGGTCCTCACACAGAGGGCCAGGCTGGGAGATGAACTTCCACCTCCTCCGTCGGAGGTACTCTGACTCCCCTCCCCACGCTGCCACACCTGGCACCTCCACCCTCCCAGGCCAGCTCAGTCCCGCTATACCTTGGGCTCCTTCTTCTCCTCTGTGGCCTGGCCCTCTGTCCGTGCCTCGTCCGTCCCGCTCTCCTCTGGGCCCGGGGGGTGAGGGAGGAGGGAGAAAATGGGAAATGTTTGATACAGAGTCTGTCTCTGTAGGGCTTTTCCAAAAGCCCGCTCTCCTAGCCAAAATCCTAGTGAGAGGGCTGGGAGGGGGCCTCGGTCGCAAAGGTAGAATGCTGGGGACGATGAAAGCCCCACCCGTTCTCCCCGTGGGTCTCGTGCTGTGAAGACGAGGCGAGGCAGGGACTCCAAAGAAAAGGCCTCGGGGCAGCTGGCAGCCTCACCAATCCGCTCAGGCTCATCAGAGGTGGTTCCTGCGATACCGCTGCTCTCCAGACCAAAGGCCGGGTCTGCCTTGCCCGTCACTTTGGCTGCCTCCTCCACTTTCCGGACGTGGGCCTCCACCAAGGCTGTGGGCACTTCCTCCTTCATCTTGGAGAACTCCTCTGCAAGATCCAGAGAGGACAAGGCTGGGGGCAGGGGCGGGCAGGCCGTTGCGGCTGTCCCTGCGAAAGCTGCTTCGGAAGCCCATCTCTTCATCTAGACCCGCGTGGAGCTCGACAGGTGCCTGAGCCCTGAGCCGGCACCAGCAGCAGACAGGGCCAGCAGGGCGGCCAAACGTGAGGGCCTTGCTAGGTCTGAGCAATCAGCCTTTCAAACCAAAGAGGCCAGGACCCCTCCACATTACCTAGGGCCGACTTCGCAGCAGCAGAGGCGACTCGAGGATCGACGACAGAGGCCAGGAAGGCAACAGTGCTCATAACAGGGTTGCCTGACTGACTGAAGGGGATAGGCTGGTAGGCCAGGGGGCCCAGGGAGGCCTCTGAGTCCTCCAGGTACGGGTCTTCAATGGGAAGACGAAGAAAATGCAAGATGCACTCATCCTGCGTGCGGCTTCCCACGTGCTCTGACACTTTGTTCCAGTCATCTTTGTACATTTCCAGTGCCTGGTGGTAGTGGTGGAGACACAACTTCCTTACTTAGCCACTTTCCTTGAAGGTCAACTCCCCCCATCCTACTAAGGGCAGCGGGCTTCAAAGCTCTCTGTGTTGTGGTATTTGTGGATTCTGCTGGGTCCCAGGGGAATCTCCAAGTAGCACTACGAGAGGATACGGAGTTAATGAAATGGCCCAAATGCCTGGCCTGGAGCTGTTCCCTGGGGCAGGTGCGGCGGGCATCAGGGAAGAGAGAGACTGGGGACAAGATCACGCTCTGCCCACTCACGAGTGTGGCTGGCACCCTGGCCACTTCCGTTTTCATAGAAAACTCTCCTTTTCCTTGCCCCAATTACCTCCAGGAGGAGCAGCGTCTCCTGTTCCGTCCACTCTCGAGTGGCACTGGCCGCAGCTTTACTCTGCAGGAGAAACAGGCGGGTCAGAGAGAGGAGCCCGTGACTTCTGAAGGGTGAAGGCACTCCCCACCTGCAGTCAGCCCACACCTCCATACCTTGGCGGGGACGTTCTTCTTTGTGTACATGTCTGTGCGCAGGCCAAAGTTCTGCATGTCTGTCGGCTTCTCTTTGCCTTTGTCAGGGAAGTTGAGCATTTGCTGGGAAGCAGAGGTCTGCTATTTGTGGAGGGGAAAGAAGAGGTGAGGACGAGTGACCAGAGGAGCCAGGGGCAGACAGAGAGAGAAAACAGACAGAAGGAGCTTCCTTCCCGAAGCCAGGGACACCCCTGCGGGGGGGGGGGGGACTTCCTCCCTCACTGCTGTAGCTCCTCGCTCTCACGTCTCTTCTCCCCGCGCAGGGGCCCCCCAATAAAGGGGCAAATAAGAAGCCCAGCGGGGTCTACACCCCACCTACCAGCTCTGGCTTGCCCTTAGCCGTCTCTGGCACCAGGTCATCCAGCTCTTTGCCCTTTCGCCCAGCCTTGGTATCAGCATCAACCTGGCGGCCCTGGGGGACAGAGCTTGGCGTCATGGAGGCTGGGCGGAAAATGACCAGGCCAAGGCCCTGGAGGCCTCAAGACCAAATGCTGGGCGGCCCACAAGCTCTGGGGGCACTCATGCCACTGTTCCGTGTTCCCTTAATGATTAATTAGATCTGTAGTTGGCATGATCCCCATTTGTATTCACATCAAACTTTATAGGTTCCCTCAGGAGCTGGACAATTGGGTTCTAATCCTAGATTTGGTACTCTGTGACCCTGGGCAAGCCACGTAATCTGTCTCCACTTAATTTTAGTAATGTATGGAATGAAAGAGGGGAAAAAATGGAAGTGACAATAATTATGAGGCAAAAATGAAAAAAATGTTGGAAACACGACGAAGTTCAAAAATTTCATGCAACTTAATTTTCCGCCATTTTTCTCTATCTGCTCCACGCCCTACACTGGCCTGTCTGCTCCTCGAGGACAAGGAGCATCTCTTCTCCCTCAGCAAGTCCTCACAGTCTTAGGTGCAGAGGCTGAGAGAGGGTGCTAAACACACGGGGCTGCCTCCTGTAGCCCTTTGCATCCCATGGAAAAGGAAGAAGCCTCAAAACACTCCTGAACCATTACCCTAAAAAACCAGGAAAAGAAAAGTCCAAAGAAGCCCAGTTTTTCCCAGCGCACCCCCCCCACCCCCACAGCCCCTCACCCTACCTGCGGGGTCTTGGGCTGCAGAGGCACCAGCCCTGATGGCGTGTCTGCCAAGACATGGAAGTGAGAGGTGGGCGGAGGCCCCATCGGGGTTGGTCGACTCTCTGCATCCACCTGGTAGTTAATAAGACCCCACTGTTCTAGGAAGGCATGGACCCTGGCAGGAGAGAGGCGGAGACAGGGTCACGTGGGGCTGCCAGAAAGGGGCAGAGGTGGGGGTGTAGAGCTCCCTTTCCCTGCCCTCTTCCCTGCCCATCTACTCCCTGGCAAATCCCTAAATCCCAGTGACACCCAGGCCTCCGTCTCCAGTCAGGACCTCTCTCCATATCCGCCCACCTAATAATCATCTCTTCTGGGAGAGCCAGGAAAATTGAACCAGGATCCTTCAACTACACGCGCACTCCTCCTTTCTTCCACATGCCAGAGAACATCACTGCCATTCCCTCAAGTCTCACACATGCCCTGAACGTGAACTGTGCCTTTCTCTAGAAGTGTTTTTTTTTCCTGCTTGATCCTCTACGCTCTTTGCTGGCAGCTCTCCTTCTGCCAAGAGACTTCTGTGGGCAGACATCCTTATGGACCACCCTCCCCTCAGCTGCAGACCCACCTCATGATGGCACAGACATCACCAGCCAGGTTCCTGCGGCAGGCAGTGGAGGTGAGATACTCTTGGGGGTTCAGCCGGTACGTGTCAATCATGAAGTTTCGATAAGCCAGGTAGCTTAGGGGAGAGATGAATGAGAGGAAGAAAAATAAGTCCACTGAGGACTGAGGGGTAGGAAAGGTGATAAAAGAGGTAATGGTTCCTCCTGTGTGACAAAGAACAAAGTGGATTGTCTGCCTCGGTAAACACTGCAGGTCTACTACGTGCTAGATGCAACGGGTTCAACCGTTGCCACGTTTTCCTCGATGGCAGTTGTTCAGTTAAATGAATCATCTCAGGACGCCTGGGTGGCTCAGTCGTTAAGCGTCTGCCTTCGGCTCAGGTCATGATCCCAGGGTCCTGGGATCGAGCCCCGCATTGGGCTCCCTGCTCTGCGGGAAGCCTGCTTCTCCCTCTCCCATTCCCCCTGCTTGTGTTCCCTCTCTCGCTGTGTCTCTCTCTGTCAAATACATAAATAAAATCCTAAAAATAACATAAAAAATAAAATTAAATTAAATAAAATAATCATCTCCTTGGCTGTACTTGGGGAAGTTTCATCAAACTTTTGAACAAGCAATCAAAAAGCAAGAAAAAGTGCCCTTATTTCCAAAGGCAGGTGTTAAGGGGAAGTCTATCCACGCATCCAACTAGTCAGCATGACGTGCTATAAAGAATATATGTTTTTGTTTTTTAAGTAAGCCCCACACTGGGTGTGGAGCTCACTGAAAAAAAAATATATATATACACACACACACACATATATTTATATTTATTTATATTTTTTATTAAAGAGAGCGTGCACAGGGGAGGGACAGAGAGAGAGAGAGTCTTAAGTTTTTTAAAGATTTATTTGAGAGAGTGCGTGTGCGTGGGAGGAGGGGCAGAGGGAGAGAATCTCAAGCAGACTCCCCACTAAGCCCAGTGCAGGGCTTGATCCCAAGACCCATAAAGTCATGACCTGAGCCAAAATCACTAATTGGATGCCTAACCGACTGAGCCACCTAGGTGCCCCAAGGGAGAGAGAGGATCTTAAGCAGCTCCATGCCCAGTGCAGAGCCTGATGCTGGGCTTGATCTCATGACCCGAAGATCATGACCTGAGCCAAAATCAAAAGTCGGACACTTAATTGACTGAGGCACCCAAGCGCCCCTAGAATATATATTTCGAAGGTGGAAAGCTCTAAGTTCAAATCCCAGTTCTTCCATGATGGCCTCGGGCAAGTTACTTAAAGTTTTTGAACCACAGTCTCCAAATCTGTAAAGTGGGAGTGTCTGCTGAGGAATAGAAAGACCTGTAAAGATCTGGTACAGTGCCAGGTACATTTCAGCAGCTCAGCAAATGGTAGCTATTGGGTGGTATAGCATAAAGTTTGAGAACATGAGCCAGTCTAAAGGATTCAGATCCCGGTTTTTCTACTCACTGGCTGTGTGACCTTAATCAAGTGACTTAACCTCTCTGTATCTCAGTTTCCTAATCAGTAAACTGGAGAGGATAATAGGACCTACCTCTAAAGCTGATATGAAGATTAGTCAATACCTGCAAGACACTCAGGATAGTGCCTGGGAGATAGGAAGCTTTCAGTAAACATAGGCAATTATCACTATTTACTATCTCACACCAAGAGAACAAAGTGTAGAACAATTCTAGATCCAGCCCTGCCTACAGACCAGGTTGAACTCCTGTCACCAGGTCATTACTCCCTTTTCCTCTGGAGAGAGCAAGCTTCTTCATACATACTACTGCTTTCCCCAGGAAAAAGAGGAGAGAACCATCGCAGGCTACAGGGAAAGAAACATGGTGGGAAGGCAAGATGGCCCCCAGAGAGGGGAAGCTGAGGAACAGCTGGGAAGCAAGCCCATTCAGTTCTTAGGGAGATCAACACTTTCTCACCCTTCTCATTATGACATTTATCCTGGAGCATCCCTAACCATAGAAGATTGCCAAGACTCATTCAAAGCCAAATAGGTTTGGCTTGAGGCAACACCTTGACGAAGATGAAGACTTCCAAGCCCCAAGCCTGCACTTTACACAACAATTCTCTCCAGAGGCTTCTCCATCCCTTAATTCAGAGTCTTGGATCTTCATAGTTCCTCCTATTGTCTTTTTTTTTTTTTTTAAGATTTTATTTATTTATTTGACAGAGAGAGACACAGCGAGAGAGGGAACACAAGCAGGGGGAGTGGGAGAGGGAGAAGTAGGCTTCCCGCCGAGCAGGGAGCCCGATTTGGGGCTTGATCCCAAGACCTGGGATCATGACCTGAGCTGAAGGCAGACGCTTAATGACTGAGCCACCCAGGCGCCCCCCTCCTCTTGTTTTTCTATTAAAACCTACTCTCAGGGACCAGCATGGTCATATACATTTTAGTCAAAGCTATTATGTATGCTGGGGATATCTGCGTTTTAGATATCTTAATAATGATGGATTGGAAGGCTCTGGACTCTGTTGAAAGAAATGGAGGCATCAGAGAGGGACCCGTTTTGTACAGAAGACCGTGCTTAATCCTGCCCCCAGGCAATCCTAGAGAGCAGCTACTGTGGCCATGGTGCTGGGCTGGGGCTGCCCATGGGCAGAGATCATGTCTTGTAAGAGTAGCACAGTGCCTGGCTCTTGGAAGGAACTCAAGAAATATTTGCTAAACAGAATATTGCTGGGTCAGGAAGGGTGATCAGGGACAGGAGGGAGAAAGAGAGTCGTGTACTGAGGTTTCCTTACATTTCTGGAGTCTTGGACTTGTTCTTGCCGTTAAAGAACTCGGGGAGAGCCCTCCGCTCAATGGCATGAACACTGCAAGAGAAGACAGAACAGGTTCAGAAGGCACTGGTGGAGAGATGGGAGCCTCGGAAGGAAAAGCCTAGAAGGGAGGGAGGGAGAACAAAGCAGTTTTCCCTTCCTTGGGGAGAACTTCCCCCAGGGCACTAAGACTCAAAGAGACCAGGAACTCCCCTAAAATCGAAGTGTTCCCCAGTATACCCGGCTGATGAAGAAATAACTTATGTGGAGACAGGAAGAGGAACAGCTCGTTGGCCCCTGGAGGCAGGGAAATAGAGAAGCAGTGAGAAGCTGGAGCAACAATACCTATTATAGTCAAACCAGGCGGCGTAGCTGGGAATGATGATGTGGTGGGTCTGTTCAGTCACGTTGTCCTCATGTAGGTCTGGATTCTTCGTCTGCTCCCCCTTGTTCCCCGTACTGTTTTCATCTTCATCCTACAAGTATGGAGGCTGCTGGACACTCAGCATTCCCATTTTGCCCCTGGCAACCCTCTGCTTCTCCCACACCCCAGGAAAGTGGGAGCACTAAAGGTGGGTATGGGAATGAACAGTTATAGGCCCTGGAACTTGGAAAGGGTCAGAGTTTTGAGTTTTGAACAACAGCTAGAACTAGTCTAAGGTGGGAAAACTCCAGGCAGTGGAAAGCTCTGGGTAGAAGGAACTTAATAAGCACAACTCAGAATCCCACAGAGAGGCAGAGAGGGCCTCTCTAAACTGGCTCCACCTTGCCCGTGGTCTCCATGCTTTCATCTTCCTGTTCATCTGAAAGAGAGAGACAGCAAAAGAGAAGGTTGGAGCCTCCTGAGGGGCAGCAGGACCCCACTCTCTGAAAAGCCCCGGCAGGCTAGGGAAGGCTGGCAGCGGAGCCTCCCCTCCTCCTTACCCAGGTCAGTCATGGTGCCTCCTTTGACTGGCGCGGACTCTGAATCCTTCTTAGTGTTGACTGCCAGGAGAGAGAGTCATTTTATCAGACAGGTTCTGCCCAAGCCAAGCCCTTACCTCTCCACCATTAACAATTCTAGAGATCTCATTCCCCCCAAAAACTTTCTCCATTGGATCACAAAAGGTGGTAACTCCCTCCAGGCACAGTCATTCTAGGCCTTGAAACTCACTTGCCACGCTCCCTTCTTCCGCCGCCAAAAATTCACTTAACTTTTTTCCTATAAAGAAGCATCTTCTACTCTATGGACACTCATAAAGCATTCCTGTCTCTGACAGGCCCCTCTTATCTCCACCTATGTGTCTGTGAGCTCTTAATGGACCGAGACAGAGTCTGACCAAATCGCTCTGTAGAGGAGTGGTTGGATCCTCAACTTTATTTTTAAGATTTTATTTATTTATTCATGAGAGACAGAGAGAAAAAGAGGCAGAGGGAGAGGCAGGCTCCCAAGGAGCAGGGAGCCCGATGCGGGACTCGATCCCAGGACCCCGGGATCACGACCTGAGCCGAAGGCAGACGCTTAACCATCTGAGCCACCCAGGCGCCCTTCAACTTTTTTTTAAAGCAGAGGGCTTCCCTTAACTGAATCCGTACCCACCAGCTCAGGAGAAAACAGAAGAGAGTCACTGTGCTCTCTGCTGTGGTTGCCAAGGGGCTGGAAGCCGGCCCTCCTCTCTCTCCGTGGCCCCCTCCCCGCCCCTGAAATACACTCCTGGATATTTGGAGCTCAACTACGGAATACAGGCCGTAGTCCACCTTTGCAGCTGCACCGTTCTCTAACATTGCAGAGCAATGGTCTCCAAAGTGGGGTTCTCACATGGGATACAAGAGATGGTCCACTGGAATTTAGGCAGAGAATTGCAGAACTTCTCTTTATATTGGTTTTTTTAATCTTATCCTTTACATTTCCCCCCTTTTAGGTAGTGTTTGCATGTGTTTTATAATGTTCCTAAAGTAACCGTATAGTAGCACATATACAGAACTCGTGCTTAAATACTTTACCGACAGGGTACCTGATCAAAAGCTGGCCAGGGACAACTACTGTCAAGCGCAAAGCCCAGGCCACGACTCTGATACGGATAAAGTCAGAAGACTGTCCGTGGTGATGAAAATAATTTTAATAACCAGCTAAATTGAAGGGAAAGGTCCTCCAGACCTGAAGCGGGGTGAGGGAACTCAGCCCTGACAGAAGGTAGGTCCCAGGAGCTTGGTGTGGCCCATACCTGTTTTAGGCAACGTCACCTCCTCTACATTGGGGACTGGTGAAGGCTCATCCATGTCCTTTGTCAGGTCTTCTTGCTCCTCCTCTCTGTGGCCACGCTTCGACTTGGTGTAAGGTGTCGAGGGACTGGGAAGGAAAGGGAGTGAAAGATAACCCAGTCATCCTTGGACAAGGAGTCCCTGGAAGTTGAGATTTCAAGGGGAGCAAGCAAGAGAGAATCCCAAAGGTGGAGCGGAGCACACACAGAAACCAGTCGCTACAGAGTACTGGGAAAGGCAAAGGCTTTCACTTGAAGATTTAGCTCCCTCTGAGTTCACTGGGGGCTGCAACTAGAACTAACAACCGGGCAACTAGATTCGACCCTCATCCTCCCTCTCAGGACACCTGCAGGGACCTGGCCTACCCTGCTCAGGGCCAGGTGGCTGTGGGGTGGCGTTTGTCCTTCCTGCCTTCACCATGGGGTGGAGAGAATGGCGAAGGTGGGGGCAGGGCAGGGGCTGGTATACCCTTTCTTGGCGTTTTTCTTCTTGGCTTCCGGGGTTGGTGAAGGAGAGGGGGAGCGCTTCCTCTTCTTATAGTTCCCCCCTTTCTTGTCCCGTCGATCTGAATCTGGGCTGTTCACCTGCAGGTTGGAGAGTTGGAACAAATGTCAGCCAACAAGCCCCACTGTAGACCTATCCCGAGACTTAGGCTAAGGGATCAGGGAAGAAAGGACTTTTCACCTCATCCGTCAGCGTCTTCGCTGAAATCTTCTTTCGGCGGGAGACGGGGCTTTTGTCATCATTTACCTCATAGTCTTCCTCGTTCATCCATTCATTGAAAGTGTCTGTGTCCAGAATCCACTTTGCGTGAACCTGAAGTACAAAGGCAGGCTGTGCTGGAGAGAAGCCTGAAAGCCACAGCTGTCTGGGTGCCCTTGACCGAAAAGCCCAAGGACACGGGAGCCTGTGCTTCACCTCCAAAGAGTGGTCTGGTCCCGGTACTCGTCTTTTTTAAAAAAAATTTCTAAGGAATATCTACACATAACGTGGGGCTCAAACTTACAACCCCAAGATCAAGAGTCACACGCTCTACCAACTGAGCCCCCCAGGCACCCCCTGGCATACTTTCTGGGGTCAGGGGACAAGAAATGCTCACCTTCCTAGGTTTCTCAGGAGTTGGAGCATCTTCCACAGATGCTTCAATTTCACTGGCTGGGATCCACGTGTCGTAACTGCCACGGGAAATTGAGTGTGAAGTAGGACCAATAGGATGGAGTCACAGAAAAGTAAAGTGCATATCTTTCACCTTTTCCACTTATAAAAAGTATAGGGTTGTTGGGTTATTTTTTGGTACAACTATTTTTCCAATTAATATTGGGATTCCTTCCATTATAAAGTAATAAGAGCAACTCCAAAAAAAAAGGAAAGAGAGAAAAGAATAACCCCAACACAACTACTTGGTATATGTATTTTTCCCAGTAAATTTTTCCTGTATGATTTTGATTTTACATAATTGCAATGTCACTAGCTGTTATCTTATAATCATACTTTTTGCATTTAATATTTATCTACAAATTATCCATGTGATTTCTTTTTTTCCCCCATGTTATTTCTATCAGTTCGATGGCTGCCTAATAGTCCACTGAGTAGATATACAAATTGCTGAAACATTTTCCCACTGTTAGACATTTAGACTGTTTCTAACATTTATCACAGATTATACCAGAATAACTATTTCACACATAAAGCCCCAATCTTTTTAGCCTAACCCTCATCGAGTAAGTCCAAACCTCTTCCAAGACAGAAAATTCTCATAATAGAGCAGGGGAGAACAAATGAACAGACCTAAAAATAACCCCAAAAGAGTGTCTGCTTGCTTTGCTAGATGTCCTAAGGCTTCTCAGTCTGGCTCCTATACTTAAACCTGCCCCAGGACCCTGTCCTCACCTGTCAGGATAGTAGCCCCAGTGCAGAAGAACCTGCTTATCCCGCTTCATGACTGGTCGTACCCATTCCTCTGGGGACAGAGACAGAACAAGGCGAGATATAAGCTAAAGGGATACACAGAAAATAACTGTACGCAACTCGTGTTGCAGCCAAGGACCTGGAAATAGGAACGTAAGGCAGTAGGAGGGCTCAGGGCTGAGAGGAGAGAGGAGCCCAGGCACTGTGCGGGGGCTGAATAGTCCCCCACTCCTAGTCCAAGCCATCCACTGCAGAGGCCAGGAAAAGCCAGGTCTCACCTTCTTCCAAGTTCCCTGGGACAGGATACACAACATGGGAGGCATTGTTCTTATCTTCAGTGACTGTTCCCTGGATGGCATGAGGAAAAGCAGGTGAATAGTCCCCTCTGAATTACTCATGGGTGTAAATAAGCCAAAGGAAGATTTAACCACAGATCCGCCTTCCTAATCATATTTTGCTCAGAATGGTATTAAAGTTAGTTTGCATTCTTTAAACATACACCAGCTGAGACGCAGAGGCAAAGAGCTGGGATAGGGCTAAAATGAAGAAAAACTAAAGAACTAAAAGTTGCTACAGATAATCCTCTGAACAGATAATTTGCACATGGGAAATGTGAAGTTGACTGTATGTCCCTAGCAAGGGCATCTGCTGGTTATTATACAGCTCCAGGGTAAAGGTTTTATTTCTCTGAAATCAGGCAATCTCTGGCTTTCCCAATTCTCAGGACAATGCAGTCTCTAGGAACAGTGATTCAAAGCTGTCAAGACTGCGAAATGGGAGGAGCGAACTGAGAAAGAGACGCTCAAGGCTTTAACTCTAGTCTTTTTCCAAGTAGGGAGAGCGCCTTTGCAATAGAAAACATGTCACCCAAAGGGATGCTTATTGTACTGAAAACATCAGGAAAAGAGTCATGGAGTTTCCAAAACTTCTTCTGACCCACCCACTCACCTGGTGTCTCTTGATAATGTCCTTTAATTTCCCTAGCAGTTTGGGTTCAATTTCTGGGCACAGAAAAATGTTAGGTCGAGACAGGCAGTTATTCTGTGGGGAGAAGAAATAGATGGGATGAGATCATGGGGAAGGCGTGTTTTAGATCTTCACTGAGGGAAAGGAGATGGACGGGGAAGGTTCTTGACTATTACCTGCACCAAGGACTTCTCAATGGTCATGAACATTTCCACGTTGCGGTCCATGCGTGACGGATTCTGGAAATCGTAACGCCGCCTTGAGAAGAGGCAACAGTCTAGTGAGTGGTTTAGATCAGGTCTGAAGATGAGGTTAGGGTATATGACTTTTTAGCATGGGAAATCCGGAAGCAATGTTGCTCATAACTGTTGCCAAAATGGCCTGGGATCTGGGGTTCACTAATCTCAACTCCATGAATCATTTTGTACTTCATCCGAAAGGACAAATAAAAGTTGAGATGCCAACCGAAGAATCCCCTCTCCTCTATAATACACATCGATGCACACATACATGCTCATTCACTCTTGGAGACTATTTTGGCTCTGACTCTCAGCCACTTTTCTGACCCAGCAAGTCAGGTCTACCGACCTAGCAAAGTAAGAGACTCACAAGAATGTCTACCTATGCTCTCCCACCCCCAGAAAGACCCAGGAAATCATAAAGGGGGAGTCCCCCTAAATGTAAGAAGCATAGAGAAGAAGGCATCTCACCATCCCTGGTCACTCTTGAACTTGTAGGCAGCTGCAAGTATGTGGCACAGGGAGCCTCCTGCTTTGAAATCTAAGAAACATTTGATCTACAAAATTGAGACAGGAAAGAAGTATGTGAGAGTTACATCCTAAATTCTCTTATTAACAATCCTTTCACAAAATCCCATGCTGAACTAATCTCTCTCTCAAAGCTGGAATTTTTTTTTTTTTTTTTTTTAAGATTTAGCTATCTATTTGAGAGAGGGTGAGAGTGTGCAGGGGGAGAGGCAGAGACAGAGTCTTAAGCAGACTCCTCACTGAGCATGCAGTCTGACGCAGGGCTCAATCCCAGGACCCTGAGATCACAACCTGAGCCAAAATCAAGAGTTGGAGGCCCAATCGATTGAGCCCCCAAAGCTGGAATTCTTCAACCTCTATGCCACAGTATCACGTGGACTGGAAGAAGCAGGGGAGAAAGAAACCAGTATTCACAAAGCCCCAATTTGTGCCACGTACTTACTGGGTTACTTCACTGACCATTACAGAAACCCTCTAAGGTAGAGATATTAATCCCATCTGGAGATGAAGGAACAGATACTCAAAAGGTTTAAATGGCTTGCCTAAGATCACAGAGATACCAAGTGGCAGGGCTAGGATTTGAACACAAGCCTACGTAAATTCAAATCTTGTACCCTTTTAACCGTGCCATGAGAGTTTCGTATAGGAGCTTAGACACTCTCAGATAACCTGTTGAATGAAGTTGTTTTTTTTTTTTTTTTTTTTTTAAGATTTTAAGCAACCTCTCCACCCAACGTGGGGCTCGAATTCGCAACCCCCAGATCAAGAGTCGCATGCTCCACGGACTCAGCCAGCCAGGTGCCCCTTGTTGCACGAAGTATTACAAGACAAAGAAAGGGAGTGGTAAATTGGGGACTAGGGCAAGCCAGTAATGCCCTGACCCGGGATGGGGATAATAGGCAATTACCCAAATCTCAAAAAGGATGAAATTTACAAAAACCCCACAACTCCCTCTCCAGTTTGGAGAATTCATCCCTTTGCGTTTGCACTCACCGGCAGTTTTGTGAGCGGTGCATTGCTGACATGTTTGCCAAAAACTTCTTCCTGAAACTGTAGCAACTGTACAACCAGGCTAGACAAGGACTTGTTGGTAGGTGGTTCAGCTTGGATATACTGGGGAAACAGAGGCAAAGGGAAGAAAAGTAGACCCCAGATAAATTGTCCACTATCTCCCTTATTTCTTCCCAGGGGACTCTGGAAGCATCTGGGGGAGAAAAAATACTGTCTTTTTCTCCCACATGTCTAGTTTCTATCAAGAAAATGGCAGAAGGGAAGCCCTCTAAGCCCCTCACAGGAAGCTGAAATTCTGCTGACCCCCAACTGAGCCTGCCAGCATTGGGTGCTGGAGGCAAGTGGGGCTTCCTAGTCCTTCTCAGCCACACTCTGAAATCTGAGTTATAGGACCCTGATTTCTAGCCAACAGCACTGAGGGCAGTAAAATTCTGAAGGTTCATTAAGTTCAGGCAATGGAAGCAGTATCTTTGAGGCTCTAAGCAAGACAACAGTGTATTTCTTGGGGGTAACTTAGTGAAAGGTCAAGACTCCCCCTATAACGTAGCCTAATAAGAAAGGTGCAGGGAAGTGAGGCAAGGCAAACAGACTGAGAGAGTAAGCTTGTGCATTCTGCTTCTGCTAGGAACTGGGCACAAATGTCTTTGTAGGCTCTCCTAGATGGCAAGGACCAGTTACTACCCAGCCCGGTGAGAGACTAAGAAAACATCTATCCTTTCTGAGGAAACTGTATCTGAGACAAGCAACCCTGGGCCTTCTTACACATTTCCATGTTATGCTACCTAGTATCCTAGCCTCCTGTTCTAATTTAAATCTGAGCCAGGAGGCTAACTTTCTCTTTACCTTTTGACCCCTGTTTCCTCAACCCTAATCACAGAGAAAAGTGCTCCTCTCAGTAGGAGATGTAAAGAGAGCCTTGAAGGAAAAGGTAAATGACAAAGAGCTAAGAACTTGAAAGCTGAATTTGAAAGCTCACAGGCTGTCAATCCCCCCAGGGCCAGAGACTAAGCCCCCAGACTGATCTCGCTTCCAAAAGGTCAAAGGTGGAGGCCTGGGAACCAGAGCCTCACGCTGGGGTACAGGCAAACCACAGACCCAGCAGCTGTTTGTCAGGATTCTGACACTCAGAGAGACCTCCGAGATAGGGCCAGAACCAGGATCAGAGGGGTGTACTCCTAAACCACCCATCACACTTCTGACAGGCTGCAAAGCTGGGCAGGAAGAATTGGGGAGCTAAAGGAAAGCCAGAAAGAGAACCTCTAACTGGGGGTAGTGAAAAGGAAGAGGCACACCATCTCCATAGAAAACCCCCATGTATAGATGTTCCTTTCAACCAGGCCTAAAGACAAAGACAACACCAGGAAGAGGTTTGATAGAAAAGTCAGGTAAGGCTTTTTGAACCCTTTGTTCACTACCTTATTATATCTCCAGTTACGGGCTGGGGGGCTGGAGATATAAAGCGTGTCTTTGCCTCTGAACCCCAAACCAAAGGCAATGCAAGGCCAGGTGGCCGGGTGACTTCTTTGTGAAGCTGAGGAATGGTTTAAAAGGTCGCTACCCAGGAACTGCTACAACCTGACTCCTAAGGGGTTTGTTGCCCCTTGGATGGAGGTGGGGGACGAGCGGTAGAGACAGGTGCGGGGGGGGGGGCTTCTTCAGGCTGATGAGCAGCCAAGGGCCTGCTCTGTGGCTGTTTACCCTCCTGCTTTCATCATCTCTCCGAACATACACAAAGCACTAGGGAGGCCTCAGCCCTGCCGGTACCTGGCTCCGTGGGGAGCTCTGGCGGGCACCGTGGCGGGCACGCTGGGGAAGGGGGGGGCATTGGGCACCCCGTCCACCCTCAGCCGTCTCTCCCGGAAAAGCCCGGAAGGCTCTGGCCCAGGGGAGGGTGGGCGGCTGGCACCGGGACCCGCCGGGCAGTGGAGAAAAACAAGGGGCAGAGGGCGCAGGAGGGAGGGCGGGGGCTGGAATCCCTGGCTGCGGGGGGCGGGGGGGCGGTAAAAGAGGCTGGGGGAGGGGCGCGGGGCCGCCGGCGGGCGCGCAGGGGCTGCTCCCGAGGCCGCGGGGGAGGGGCCGCGGGCCACCCGAGGGTGGGCAGGATCGGGGGGGGGGGGCTGCGGGGCCGCGGTCCCTTTGTCCCGCCCCCGGCCCCCGCGCGGCCCTACCCGCGTACCTTCTTGTAGTTCTTGCCGAGCCAGAGCCTCACGTTGTCGAACTGGGTCACGGTGTCCGCGGCCTCGTAGTACTTCACGTTGGGGCCGCCGTCCTTCTTCCGCACCGCCATCTTCTCGGGCTCGGGCCCCGCCGCCGCCGCCCGCCCCGCTCAGCTCAGCTCCCGCCTCCTCCGCCTCCTCCTCCGCCCGCCTCCC